GTTATCAACGCTGTCATCAATTGGAGACTGTGGAATTGTGTTTATATAGCCATTACTTCTCTGCGAAACAAGTTGGTTTGTTCAATCGCGCCGCCGGCTTTGGCTTTAGGCAATGAGGCCAAGGCATTGAATACCGATATACTATATTTATTCTCTATTGCATGAGTATTAGAGCAAAGATTGTACTGAAATCACGATTTTGATAACCTCTATTGACTGTAAATACATGAAAGTAAAGTGGCAACAGGGTAGCTGATTTAAATAGGGGCTCATAAGTACAGTGTAAAACTTGGTCTACACCGCTTGTCAGGCACATAGTGAGTCAGATGGCCCTTTAGAAAAATCAAGAGCCTCGTAAAACAAAAAATCTAGAAGATCGCAAGACACCGAGATGTGAGATTGTCGTCATCTCCAAAACTTGGATGCATCACCCTTTGATTAAACGGGCCAAGAAGAAGCTTGATTGGAACAAACTACTCCTGATCTGGCCTAGATTCTGTGGAATGGTGGATCCGGAAACAAAGCTGTCCTATTACTAAGCGGTTTGACTGTTTCCGTCAGATCTAAATCTCACCGGGCAAATAATTGCCTGAAGCCCGAGCCCACCATTTGCAGATCGCTCTTTTTCCATCTCAGACCCCCTCTTCTGGGACTTGTCATGCTACAAAGAAGGAATAAAAACTCACTTGTGACAGAAGCAGTACATAACAACTCCAGGTAATAATTATTTATACTATTAACTATTAATAGGCAGACATATCCTTAATTGAGATAGACTTTATCTGGAATCTTAGTAACGCCGGCTAATTGTGGAGCAGACACGATTACGCGCTTGACGCGCTGATCAACCAAGTCAGCCTAATGTGATTAGCGTACGGAGTACGGATAGTACATGCTAACGTCGGTGTGGTCACCGTGCCCAGAGGCCAGTATTATGTGGGCAGCAATGAATCTCCGGCGAGAAGGCTCCGTTGGGATGGAACAAAACCTGCAATCGCCTGTCACTTGATTCGTTCTGTTTGCCATCTGTTACACCCTTATCTCGTCTGTTTATTTCGTTTCTGCCTTCTTATTATTAATACATAACATGTCCGGCCAGACAGACAAGATCGCTATGAGTTCAGTTCATACTCGCGCTCATGTCCAAGGCAAGGATGTCGAGGCTCAACATGATATCGACGATCCTTTGGGTCTTTCCGCACACATCAAGCTCGAATCCGACATGCCCAGAGCCAATACCTCACGCAAACGTCATCTAGGCCTTAAGAAGAATCACCCGCTCCAGGAGTTCTATGAAACGCAGAATCAGAGCATCCGGGCAATGCTCAAGTCGGTAGAGGAGCACGAGCAGGAGGTTACAGACGCTCACGGCGCCAACACACTCATGTATGGCATCTGCGTCAAAGGTTCTTTGATGGCCAACATCATACTCTCGGGTCTCCAGCTGTATGGCGCTATCTCATCCAGCTCCCTATCGCTTTTCACTACCATGGCCGACTCTGTCTTCGACCCCATGTCCGGCATCATGCTGTACATGGCACACCGGGCCGTCAACAAAGTTGATCCGACTAAATACCCCTCAGGCCGAGCCCGCATCTCGACCGCTGGCAATATCGTCTTTTCTTTCATCATGTTTTCCGTCTCGCTGGTCCTCATCGTCATGTCTGCTCGTGACCTCGCTGCCGGATCAGAGGAGGAGACTAACAAGTTTCATTTGCCCTCGGTCATTGCCGTGACTGTCGCCTTTGCTACCAAGCTGGGACTTTTCTTCCTGTGTTGGACTGTGAAAGACATCTATAGTCAAGTTGACATCCTCTGGCGCGATCATCGAAATGATCTCTTTATTAACGGCTTCGGTATTCTCACATCTGTCGGTGGCTCTAAATTGAAGTGGTGGATTGATCCGATGGGTGCCATCATCTTATCCGTTCTCATCGCTGGCCTCTGGCTCCATACAGCCTACGATGAGTTCCAACTAATGATCGGTGTCACTGCAGATAAGGATCTCTTACAACTTATCACATATATCTGTTAGTGAGCCTCTCCAACGATTGATAGCATGAATGCTAACTATTCAGCTATGACGCACTCGCCGCTTATTCAACAGGTCGATACAGTCAGGGCCTACTATTCGGGCCCACGGCTTGTTGCAGAGGTTGACATAGTTATTGATCGCAATGAGCGAGTCGAAATAGCACATGACGTGGCGGAGGATCTTCAGATTAAGCTAGAGAAGCTTCCTGTCATCGAACGTGCCTTTGTGCACATTGACTACGAAACTAGCCATAAGCCAGTAAGCTCATTGCGTTATGCCTATACAAGTCCCCTTTTGCTAACGAGTGTAACTAGGAGCATTATCTGAAAAAGCTCATGTAACAGGAGCTGCGTGACTTTTTAAGAGTCTCAGTGTAGGAGTTTATAGTGAAAATAAAACTATAGATGCTCGCACTATAGAAGATGAACCATATTGATCATTCGGTAGTGCTTGCTTTTGAGATCTTAAAAATAATGGGGAAAGCAAGGTTTTGAACCACGCATGGCAGGAATTTCTGCCCAAATCTATTCACCAAGGCAGCTTCCAACTCCAGTCTTTCCCGGTCGTTGTTAGTTTAGTGTTTGATGACCATCAGCCAGGAGTAGATGAGTTGGAATCTGGAGTTTCAGGTCAAAATTTAATGGTACACGCCTGACAGGCGTCTGTTCGGTGCTTACATCTATGCAATAGGTTCTCGTGGAAGGGCAGAGGAGTATGGAGGCTGGATCCCGCGTTGTTTGGACATTGAGGCTAATTGTGGACAGCGGGGAGGATAGAAAACTTTATTTAAAAAGCATTGCTATTTTGTATAGAACACGAGTGGAAATTGAAGCACTGACTATATGCGGAGTCCGATGTTCAAAACCCCCCAACTCCGTAATTTCCTTCCAGCTCACTCCTAATAGCGAAATTGGAGCACAGAGACTATATTCTATCCTTCCGCCCCTGGTATTGTCTCAAAAGTTGCTTCCCATAATCATTGCCATTTGGGGTTCTAACCAGAGTGTGAATGTGAAAGGGAAGAGGCTCCTTATTGTTGAGAAAGACGCCAGAATGATGATCAAACTCAACCATAATGACTGGAGAATGCACTTTGTAGTAAAAGGCATCCCTGTCTCCAAATCCGCCAATCCAGCAGAACCACGTGTCATCCCAGTGGCTAGCAATTTGTTCCAGTTGGGAGGCCAGTGCGTTCTCCGGGAGGTAGTTCAGACTTAGTTCGACCAATTTGCGGACGGCGTCTTGTTGAGGCTCGGAGAATGTTGTGACCCTGACACCCTCATATGGGACTATGCGATTGTCCTGGAAAGCACCTCCGAGGTGTCGCTGATCTGCTCGGTGCCATCGTTCTGGTGGGTACTCATCGCCACTTAGCTTCTTGTAGATCTGAACGTCTTTCTGAACCTCGGGATCAAGCAACTGCATGAGGCCAAGGGCAGTCTGTTCTTGATCAACGAAAAGCTCAAGACCCTCATGAGGACCTGCGTCAATAATATTTGGCTCAGCGCCCATAAAGACAGGTGATACCACCATCTGCGTTCCGACCATGAAGAAATTCATGCAGAGGTGGTGGCCGAATATCTGCCAGCCCCATGGCTCTTCTGGAGAAGGTGTCCCGAAGATGACAAAGTTATACGAGTTCTCGTTTAGAACCTTAGTGCCATTGACTACCTCGCCGAGAAATTGATTGACCTTCATACAGCCATGAGCCTTTTCATAGCCCTTTGCTGAGAGGCTTGATTGCATGAGACCATGCAAAGCTGCGATAAGATCCTTTGAGGCTTCTTCCAGTCGAACACCATGCTTGAAGACATATATCTCGGGGTTCATCCAAAAGCGCCATTCTGGTGCATCGACTGGTCTGAGAAGTTTCTCTCTCTCTTCTTCTGATGCAACATTGATGGCGTTCTGGGCAGCCCTGACAGCATTTTTTGGCGCTCCGAAATTCTCGATTTTGTTTGCCAGACGGAACAGGTTGGGAATTACCTTTCCATCTGTTGTAATACCCTTATAAGGTTGGCCGTACCGTTCCTTCCAAGCCTTCATCCATCCCATCATGAATGGCTCAGAGCATCGATGGTTAGCCCACTGGTAAGTGTCGGACTCTGCCAATTGTATGCTTCTTGGGATATCCGCAGGCGGGATATAATTGCGGAATCCTGCAGGAGAGCGAATTTGTGTCATGTTTTCGGTGTCGACACGAATCAATGGGGAAGAGGTCTGTGACGATTATGGCAATGAAGAAGCCTCACTATGGTATGCGCACGTGGATGACACAGATGGGGACTGAGGGAGTGAGTAAAACGAACTAATCATCACTCTTACTGTGGACGTTGTGTTTTAAACAGGCTCGTTATGAGCTCGCAGGAGCTCTCGTTCACTACAAGACCAAGGCCTGCCAATTTCTGATCAGCTCATAATTCTGAGCCCTCGGCAGCGGCCGGAACACAGACGGAAAGGGTGCTACTGTCCAGAATTGAGAAGTCGCCAAGCTCTCACGGACATGTCGCGTTTTTGCTTCCGTTCCGAGGTAATCACTACGGCCGAATTCTTGACACTCAAGCGAATAGGTGATTGTCCCCACGCACCAACTGAGACGCGCGGTCGGTAGCGCGTTACGACTTGGGCGTGTCCACAACGCGTTGTTCCGAAATCCCGCCAATGCACCCCGCAGCCACGGAAGCGAAGGCAGCAGCGATGCCCGATGTCTGTTTGCCTTATGCATACCCTGTACTTGATAGAAATTTTATTAACATAACCTTCAGTCTTTATGTATTGTATTACTTTTTATAATTTACTGCTAAGCAGTGAAATTAATTATAGAGGTATTGACAGCATTGTAATTGTTATAATATAAATTTTAAGAATACTAATAGACTTGAACTCCGAATAAAACGTATCAAATAAATGGCTGTTACATATTCAAGATATAAGAATATAAAACAAGATCGATAATATAATTATCTTACAATGAGTTCCAAACACCCACATAATCCACTTCCATATTTACTGAGGGCCCATCAATGGTAGCATTGTTTGGCGGGCCAGGCCAGTTTCCACCGACGGCCACGTTGAGCAGCAGGAAATGCTCCTTATGCGCCAGCTTCACCCAGCTTGGCTCGTCCCCAACAGTCGCACCTGTGACATTGAAGATCTTCTTTCCATCCAGGAACCAGTTGAGCGACTCGTCCCGCCAAGATGCATTCTTTCCCTCGCCGCACATGCTCCTGTCGACCATGAAGCCTAGCGTATGGAACTCGCCCCTGGAAAAGTCCCTGCCTCCGCTTCCAATTCCGCTATACTCATTACATGGACCACCAGGAGCAAACCCGCAGTGTATGGTTGAATACATCCTTGATTCGCCATTTATCGCCTCGAGAATATCCCACTCGGAAGCCATCGGCCAGTTTGTGTAGTTACCTCTGAACTCGCTGCCCAAAGCCCAGAAGGCGGGCCAGATGCCTTGCATATTTGAGGCTGGCGCTCCACCGAGTTTGAGGCGCGCTTCAACAAGCAACTTCCCTCCTTCTTTAGCAACGAAATCACTTCGCTGAGTCTCGATCCTCGCCGATGTCCATTTACCCTTCTTGAGTCGCGGGGTAATAGCCAAATTGTGGTCTTTTGTTATGTGTATGTTGGAAGGGTCGTTGGTATAGGTTTCGAACTCGTTGTTTCCCCATCGCTCTGCTCCGCCTGGGTACGAAGTTCCGAGATCAAAGATCCAGTTGGAGGATGAGGGAAGTGATCCTGGAAAGCCGACGAATGTTTCAATGAATGTTGGAGCAAACCCGGGTTTGATGAGTGTAGTGATTTTGGAAACGGGGGTAGCCATTGCGGTGGTTATCACCATGAGGGTTAAAAAGAGTGACTTCATGATGAAGATGATTGAGAGAGTGACTGAGAAAAAAACAATGTATACAAAAGAGAATGGTGTAAAGAAAAGCTTCGCCGAAGAGGGGGCAAGTCTCGATATATAAAATATATTAATTGCATTTTTAGAGATATATAAATATAGTTTTAATTACATAGAGTTTAATTACAAAAACGTAGTATTTTAGTATCAATCAAATAAAATGCCTCTCTTTCCATTAGTAGTTAAAGGTAATTAAGGTTTACTGGCATAATCCCTACTTGTAGAAGAAGATCTCTCCCCTCCTTTAGTTCAGTAAGGGATAACCTTCGGCAGATAAATCTTAGCCGGATAGCGCGGAGTATTGTGAACCTTGATCTTACCAAACTTCTCTAGCTAGACCTGACACAATGACGCCGAAATCACCGCCCCCAGGCTATCGACTGTCTGCACCCTCCCGATCACCTAACCTGGCCAAATTTCGAACGGAGCTGATGGCCAAAGCGATGAACAATCGCGATCAGAATCATGCTTGCCGCCACAATGCAAGCTTGAGTCCCAAAGCTTACATCGTAGCCAACCTTGGCTCCCCACGGCTGCTGGTAGTAACCAACGCTAAAGCCACTCAAAGCTCGGAACACGTTAGTCAAGCCACAGACTTCTGCAGGAGCAGATGGGTACGCATCCAAGAGGTATGAAGCAACGGCGACAGATGTGAGCATGATTCCGAAAGCATGCATACCCCATCCTACGACGATTGCTGCGACAGAGAGATGCTTATGCAGGGCTTGTCCCATCAAGACCAGGCCGGCGATCATGGGGACAGCCGAGATGTAGATGGTCACAAGACGAGCCTCGGGCTCAAAGACACCGTTGTGCTTTTGAACATAGCGTCGAGTAAGGTGATCGTTGAAGAAATGACCAAATATCTCGCCTAGGAATACGCCCACGATGGGGGCAAAGTGTAGGTATCCCAGCTGGGTAAAGCTGTAGCCATAACCTCCCATAGCCTGAGGAAGACCGAAGAGAATGGCAGTCGAGATATTAACACCGATCGCCCATGCAAAGCACATGAAACTAGGGACATTTTGTTAGTCCTTGGGTTGTTACAGAAGAGAAGCATAACAAACTTACTAAGCAGCGAGTACAAGGAGAATAACAGGCTTCGATAAGATTAGGAGAACTCTCTTGTAAGCATCGTAAACAGACTCGAAGTATTCAGAATGATGCTTGACCTGCCATAGACCAGTAAGCCGAAGTAGCCGAGAGAAGAAACCTTGGCCTCGGGATGGCTGAGCAGATGAAGGCAAATCACGACTGTACCAAGTCTCATCCAAAAAAGCCAATATGAGAAGCAAGCTGATGCCATTGACCCCGACCCCCAGCCAAAAGGCATCCTGCCATTGATGGGTCTCACCAATGACAAAGTTGGCAAGTAGTGGGCCCCAGTACGGAGATGTGATGTACATGAAAGCCCAAAGGCCGATCTTTCGAGCTCGTTCATGGAAGAAGAAGATATCTTTAATGAAGGCGATCGCGATCGTCTGGCCAGATGTAAGGAAGAGGCCTTGAATGGCTCGGACGCCCATGAACATCTCGAAGTTGGTGGAAACGGATGAAAGGATCGAGAAGATCAGACCGAGGAAGGTGGACCAAAACAAGGTCGGTGCTCGTCCAATGATGGAAGTCATGGGAACCCAGATCAAACCACCAATGGCCCTGGGAACAAATGAGTAAACGTCATGACGAGAAGCAAGGTAAGGGCTGCTTACATCATGAGGACGTTGATGCTGTTATTATGATTAACCGAGTTTGGAGACTTGTGCCATTCGGCAGCCTGAAGAATGACCGGGGCGCTACCAGCAGCAGATGTAAAATCTGAAGTGAGAGCAGCCCACGCCACAACCAGAAGAATGAGGTGCTTTTTTCGCGATGACCAGTTCAAGGGGTCGTTGGGATCGTCCGTCGGCTGGGGCAAAAGCACGGTCTAGATTGAATGCGACTGTCAGCAGTCATGGCAGCCTGTGAATTGCAAGACTTACATGTCCATCTTCAGCAAGACGCAGAGAGGTCCCTTCAGTACATTCAACCTGGAGGAGAACTCCAGCTTCAGCTCGAGCCTCTGGCGGGAACTTGTCTATAACGCGAGAGCCGTCTGACTTCTCGTCGTTGGAAATGTGCTCGACCTCAGGCTTCTCCATGATGGCTTTGAAGTCGTGTATGGTTGCTGATGGAAGATCTCGAGCTTTGCAAGTCGAATGCTGCGGGACATTGATGCCGCCAACTGTCTATACAAATACAATTTGCGTTGCTAAAGTCATGGCAGTCTAGAACAAACGCAGGCTGGAAGTTCCGAAATTGCGAAATCCGGGGCCCCGTGGGGTAGAGTTGGCTTCCCGTTGTGTGACGGGGAAGCCAAAGGCTAGCTCGGCTAGCCTGTTCAGAACTTCTGGAGAGCCCCTTGACTTCCGGCGACCCGGCCAGTCCAGAGCGCCAAGCTCAAATCTTGTCTCCGGTGTGCGCCACCACATCTCTAGTACCTAGTACCTAGTGAGGTCTCTGGCTTGATGGAACGCACTTGAATGCAGTTCCTTCTACGTTATACCTGTAAGTACTTCACATGCAGGACGTCATTGGTGTCTGATTTGGGTGACTCTTGGTAAGTTGCTAATCTGAGACTGTTTTTCACCAGACTGATGATCCAGGGTCTGTAAAAAGGTAATCAAGACGCGGGGATCGCTTATCTTGAGGCGAAGCGGCCACGAGGCCAGACGACTGTGGACTGCCACACTAACATAGCATGTGAGCCAAGAGTACTAGGATCTATTCAACACAGTTGTACACCAATTTCTAGGCGGAATAGCAATTCCGGCTTGCGAATAGGTGCACAATGGAAAATCCGATGCCACGTACAGTATTTGCACGTTCATCATACGGAGATCGATCAATGGTCAGGATCGCTGGATGCCAACAGAAATATTTCATGATGGTTGTCAACTGAGGGCAGCGAAGGAGGAGCATGAGTCCAAGTCAGGTGGTGAATTTGAAGTCAACAGGCCATTTTCATCGAGTGGAGGGACAAAAGATTGCTAGGACATGGCGATGCAAAAGCTGGGTCTGAATAGAGTAATTCACAGCTTGAGATGCGTCGCTGCAAATAAATAAGATAAACTGTAATTGTATGAGAAAACGCGATTGTTGACGGTAAGAGAAGAAGAAGTCAACGCGATTCAACACTGCAAACATTATCATACTAAAAGAACACAAATTGGAGTTGTACGTGGAACGCAAACTCTTCAATCGCAGCCTCAGACTTTCACTGCCAGATCCTAATTCTCAACATGCCCGTTCTGGAAACCATTCTCAAGCCCATTCTTCAACCCATCGTGGTTGACACCATTAGTCGCTACACTATTCTGCTCCTTCTTGACCTTTGCCTTCATCAGAGTGACGGCATCATAAGGATGAGGAGCAAGACTGGCCTGCGCAGTCTGACCCTTATTCTCAGCTCGCAAGACATCCGCATACGGCAAAACACCCGCATTCTCAAAGGCGCGGAAAGTCTCGACGTACGTGTCGTAAGTATCGTCGTAGCGCTTCCAGCCAAACTTGCGCGCTTTGCCTACGCTGCCAATGGTCAACCAGGCCTTTCCGACGGCCCAATCGAAGAAGTCCCAAGTACCCCACTCGAAAGCTTTGAGTTGGCCGCCGTACTTGGCTACTACTCTCTCCCATACTTGCTTCTTGTCCTTATGCCACTCAGTCATGAGGAAGTTGTTCTCCATACGCTGTTGGTCTCCCTCGGCTGCCCACTCGGTGAACTCGGGAACCTGAAGATAGTTAGTCACAGGAAAACAAGGGTACACGTGAATTGACTTACCTCGATGCCAAAATATTTGCCAAGCTTGCCCCAAAGCTGTTTCCAGACAAAGACGTCGCCATTCTGGTGGTTAAATGCCTCGTTCTCGGTGTGCTCGTCAGTGACAGCCCAAACACTCAGATCAGCGATGCTGGGAGCGTAGGAGGAATCATCGACGCATTGGTTGAAGAAGAACTTGTTGCCCGGGAACATGGGTGGTACTCCCATCTCGCGGCAGATCAACATGTAGATCGCCAATGTGAGCGCCATAGACATGCCGTTTCCTATAATTGGAGTTAGCTAGCTATTACGCTGTTATCGCTGGCATTACAGCCATACCTGCAGGTGTATAGCCGATAATGGCATTCGGGCGGATGATGTTCCAGTTCCAGGAGCGCTTGGCTGCCAGAGTAGAGAGAAAATCTTCCTGCGGATAGTAAAAGTTCTCGCCTTTGTCCTCGTACCGGCCCATTTCTTCATGAAGAGGGACTTCAGTTGGTCCAAGGTGCGGACCATAATACTAAACACTCTCATTAGTCCGCGACAAGAGATGGTTGAGTGACATTTACTGACCTTTCCGCCGGTTTGGAGACAGACTCGCTGCAGTGTGCTTGCTGCAACAATATCTATAGCGACGAGAAAGTTGTGAAACAAAGGAATGTTACTATCGCGCAGCTTGGCAAAGTCGGCTGTGTGAACGTAGGACGTGAAGAATGCGTGGGTAACGTCGTGGCACAGAGGTGCCATACTTTGGATCAACTCTTCTACGGGGTTCAAAAAGTCGAGAGCAATGAACCTGATTCGGTGGTCTTGCCATAGGCTTTGCTTGGGAACTCGTCGGGATGTGATAATGATCTTGGACCTGCGTAACCCTCGTCAGTTATGCCCTTTTGACACTATGGGCTGAGGGACTCACCATTCGGACTCTGGCTTGCGGATAAGGTGCTCAATAATGGCATTACCAGTGATACCGTTGGCACCCGTAACGAAAGCGACTTTCCCTTTAGCAGGAGCCATGATTCTGAATGTGTAATGCGTATGATAGCCTGATAGGTAAAATGCTAGAAAGTTTAGATAGACAATCAAGGTGTATATTGGTAACTGTAAGTCTACCTTTTATTTGTATAGATTCGATGGAGCTTATCATGAGCTCTGCGGAAGTAAAGGAATAATGCCCGGAGCTTGGTGCTCAGCTTACCTGTCAGAGGCCGGAATTCTCGCCTAACCCGAGCTCCTACGATCGCCGACAACAACTAATAGTGTGCGGAGTATGGACGGAATGTCGGCGGAAGCTTAGCGCAATAGAACCTAGAACAATACACGCGATAGAAGGAATTAAGCAAGAAGTGTGTCATCCACTATTCCCACTTGGCTCAAGCATATCAAGTTATTCAACTTTCACTTCAATCATAGAGAAAGAACCAGAGCTTGACGGAACGTACGACATAATTTTGGACGTAATGCACTATTCCAAGATACCTATACTACAGTAACAACAACAAATACAAGAAGACACAATCTAGCTTCTACTTCAGACACCAGTAATTGGCAAGGTCCAGCGCAACTTCGCTCAAACGCCCATCTTGGCATACAGCTTCTTGTGTTGCTCAAGAATCAGAAGCGTCAGGATAGTCTGAGGCCCAAGACGCAGAAAGCTAGGAACCCATCCTTCAAAAACCCACGATGGACTTTCAGGCAAGATTGATCGTTTTATGATCTGCCATACATGTTCCCCATTTGTTGAGCCCATAATGCGAGTCTTGACCACGTCTACAGGCGAGCAAACAGTTGTCGCTACAACACCAGCAAGGGAAGAAGCCACTAGATGAGTTATGATGTCATCATCCATCCCAAATGTCCTTATGCATGATGCCTTGGCCATGTCGTAAGAAGCCAGCTGCGAGGAGTTCATGAGAGATGCACGAAGGGCGTTGGTGCCTACTCCACGATAGAGAGAACTTAAACCCTCAGTCCTGGTGATATGTGTTATACCATAAAACACATGCTTGTAGTTCCTTTGCTCTGCTAGCGGTCTTGTCATGTCAGACTGCATCCGCACGTTGACAATGTCTGCTGGGTTACCAACAGAGCTGATAAAGAGAACAGCACCATGGGGGAGTGAGATGTCCTAGTATCATGACTGAGACGTAATTTGAGATCCTCATAGACTCCGAAGCGGATGGTTGAATAGGTGAATTGTCTGAGAATGGCTGCACTCAAGCCAGCATAAAGACCATTACAGCCCTCATTGGTGATGACACGAGCGGTCATCCCTGTCATAGAGAGCCGAGCTGGCGTGATTGCGGACTGTATACGGACTTTTACTGCAAGTATGTGAGTAAAATGACGCTCAGCGAGTGTAAAGTCCGACCTAGGTCCAGCGGATGGGTGAGCAAGGTAGCCATTGCGCTGGCGCTGCCTCCAAACCAGAAGAGATACTTGTTGGAAGAAGGCGACGAGGCATCCAACGACGAAGGCTTCATCGTAATCCTCATTTTATTAGACTTGAGAACATAATCTTCTTCTTCTTGAGTAGAGAGGTTTGACATGTGTCTTGACGATGTTTACCCGAGGAACGAGAAAGGGAAAATGGTTCACAATAACTTGAACATAAACATCAAACAAAATTACGAAAGGGTCGGAAGTCCAGTTGTTCTCGCCAATGGAAATGTAAATCACTCTTTATTTTGCTTGCTTGCTAACATCGTAACGCGACACAAGATGAAGTGCACTGCCAAACTTAGGAACGGCATTATACACAATTCTGCCGAAGGTTTGTCCAGGAACGAATGACGCCCTCCGCGCAACGGCGGATTCCTTAGAAAATCACTTCTCGAGTCCCTAAGATCAGACTGCCCTTGTCTGAATATGGACAGTCAACGGTGGTTGTTGTGTGGCTGGCAGAAATTCCGAAATCCCGAAAAGCCGTGATCACGAGTCGAGATCCACAAGGTTTCGTAGTGGCATGGCCTTCTTTCAGCGATAGATGGGCTCCAAAATTGTCAGAAACAGTAACCCGAGGTTTAAAAGAGCAGAAAGCTTGACTTGTTACGGGATGCCAATCATTGACTGCAAAGGACGAAAGTCACTCGCATAGGTCGTGGGCACCATAGTATCTGCGCTTCCTAAAAGCTAAGGATGGCGAACTAATGGTAGACCAAGCCTTATATAAGTGCGTTACTGAATAAACCAACTTGAGTTATTGAAGATGTATTTGGATAAACCTAGCATGTCGAAGAGAAATACAATGTAATAGTACTGTGTGGCTAGGAACTACTTGTTTTCCGTTCATGTCATGAACATAGGAATGTCTGTTCTACCCGGCAGATGCAGGCCGAGGTTCCATGGAGACCTACCCCGCTGAGTCACGAGAAAAGTATAGTACCTGAGTTACAGACTTGCAGAACTCTGTCCCGACCTATAGGCGGAAATTGAGGCCCCTGTTCCGGCTGACCACCAGTAGAGTCGACGTTTAATCTCGTATATTAGGAGTTAATTATTGTCAGCTTCTACACACAAAATAAAGGTTCAAGGATTGGATCAAGAGCTATCCCGATTCAGCCAATACCAAGTTTTAGTTTGCATCCACCTGACGACTTGGCTTGAGCTCACACATATTGACCCAACCTACTTCTCAACAAGCAGAATCTCGCAACCGGTACCATGGTTACAACCATGAACTCTGAGTCAGCGTAAGTTTGAATGGTATTACATTCGCTGTTTAAAAAAACTAAAGTATCACCAGTCTTCTTGACTCCCAGTCATCACAATTGCCCGAGGTTGAGACCGATGTCCTCATCGTAGGCGCTGGCGTATCTGGGCTATCCTTCGCAGCCATGCTGGCGGCTCTGGACATAAAAGTGTTCGCCATCGCAAAGCACAGCGGTACCGCGCCAGCTCCGCGCGCCCACGTCACCAATCAGCGGACCATGGAGATCTTCCGCGATATGGGAATCGAAGAGCTCATTCAAGCCGCAGGGACCTGCATGCCCGAGATTGGTAACATGGTCATGGCTACTAGTCTCACGGGCATGGAGATTGGACGCTACAGCTGCTACGGTGGAGGTGATCATCAGCTGACAGACTTCGCAAAGGCTAGTCCAAGCAAGATGTGGAACACACCCCAGAACAACATGGAGCCTATCTTGCTGCATAGGGCACGAGAGAAAGGAGCCGACATACGCTTCTACCACGAGCTAGTGGATATTCAGCAGTCTGATGAGGGTGTCGTCGCTAGAGTGCGTGAAAGGACCAGCCAAGGAGAGTACATCGTCCGTGCCCGCTACGCCGTTGGTGCGGATGGAGCTAGGTCGATGGTGGCACAGAAAATCGGATTTGGTTTCGTTGGGGAGCCCGGACTTATGCATATGATAAGTTCGTGGGTTGAGATGGATTTGGCCCAGTATGTCGCTCATCGCCCAGCCTGTATCTACTTGATGCTACAACCCGGCGATGCGTACTGGGTTGGTTCGGGAACATGTATCCTTAAGAAGCCCTGGGACGAGTGGATTGTCAATCGGCAGTACAACGCCGCAGATGGGGAGCCCGACATGAGCGACGAAGCCATCATTTCCCATGCCCGTAGCGCGCTGGCCATTCCAGACTCTCTTCCGATCCGGGTGAAGCACAAGGGCAAGTGGCAAGTCAACCATGTTGTCGCGACTGAGTATCGCCACGGCCGGATTTTCCTTTCTGGAGATGCGGCCCATCGTCACCCCCCCGCAAGTGGACTCGGAAGCAACACCTGTGTACAAGACGCTTACAACCTCTCTTGGAAGCTAGCCGCTGTCATCAAGGGACAGGCCGGTGAAGGTATTCTCGAGAGTTATAACCAGGAGAGACAGCCTGTCGGCAAACAGATTGTGGACCACGCAATCGAGACACTTCACGACATGGCACTTCTTCCCGGCGCCCTCGGGTTTGAGCGAGGTCAGTCCCGAGATGATGGTTTTGCGAAGCTCAAGGAGCTCTTCTCCGACGCTGATGGCGCATCTGAGCGCCGCGAGTTTCTGAGGAAGACGATAGACCGTGGTAATCGTCGTTCCAACCCTCTTGGAGTACATCTGGGGCATCGTTATTCCAACTCGGTTGCTGTGGTTGATGACGGAACACCGTTCCCTGAACATGAGCGTGACCCTGTTCTGTTCTATCACCCCACGACTCACCCAGGCGCCTACATCCCGCATGCTTGGATAGAGCTCAACAAAAAGCGCATCTCGGTCCTGGATATCTTTGAGCATGGCAGTTTTGGTCTTGTCGTTGGTATTGGCGGAAAGCCTTGGGAGGAGGCTGCTGCCGCTGTTAGCCAAGAGCTTGGTGTCAAGTTACCTGTGTACTTTGTTGGCCAGGGTTGTACTTATGCCGATGTCTTGGCTGAATGGACGAATCGACGTGAGATTAGTGACCGTGGGGCTCTTTTGGTTCGACCTGATCGTCATATTGGCTGGCGATCGTTTGATCGGCCCCAAAACCCTACCGCGACCTTGCGATCAGCTTTTCAGCAGGTTCTTTCACGCCACTAGATACTAGGCAGTCAGTCCGAAGTAGCAAAATAGAATGAATCCTGATTTATACCCAAGGTTGTCTCGAGATGTGAAATTGGCGGTGCCATATAAGAAGTCCCATTAATCTGGTATTTGATTCTTCTTGTATTTACCTGTCTCATACTCATGGCCTTCCTATCGACTGTTCAGTGACACCTTCCTCTGAGGTCTAAGGCTTCATGTCAGTTAAAATCGCGTTCCAAGATTGCTAGACGCATCAAGGATTGGCGGGCTACTAGAGTAATTCCCAAGAAAAAAGGATAAAGTAATTCAGATTGTTTACTCGTCATGATATCTCCACATCTTAGCTTTGTCATTTAATTCCTAACGCTAGTACAAACAAGCACTAGTTCCTTTCTACGTCAATCTCAGTCATGTTGGGGCTCGCGCGTCCCAAATCCATCTTCTACCCACTAGAGCCTGACCGGTGAGAGACCCTAACAAACCTAGAGTGGCAGAACAAAATGAAGTATTACGGCATCATTCGCTGGGCCGTTCCCATCTCTCGTTGCAAGCCACGGATATTCCGTCCGAAATACCGAGTTCGCGTGAGAACGCCAAGATGGTTAGTACTTATCGAGCTAGTGTGGAGTCCAGTCCGGAGATCATGGAATCGTGATCTCGCCTAGTGATCTCGCGGGTCTAGATTTCCCCGCATCATTTTGTAGAACGCGGGTCTCAGGCTTTTATACGTTGAGTACAGCAAAAGCTGACCCGGCATAATTGGGAATCTTGCCGACAGACTCCATCATGCAGATCGGAATTGCTCCTGAGTTCGGCCCCATAGACTCCAAGTAGAGTCGTCTATAATTCTTCATTATGAAGACTGAAGGGGCACCAAATGGTGCAATAAATAGTAATTCTGCATAACGATTGTTGTCAACAGACTAAATCTTGCTCTATATCGCCAGCTCAGGTCCCAACTTAGGCTCACGTTCTCTGTTTTGAAGAAACTCCGAGCCAACACCAACAGCCAACATGTCCTTTCTTCTGCTCCGACGTGTTCAACCTCGGAACATTCTTGGAGTTGCCGCAGCAAGCCGCAGAACCCTTTCGTTGGCAAGCTTTGATTGGGAGGATCCTGTCTCGTCAAAGAGTTTGCTCACCTCGGAAGAACTTGACATTCAGGAGACTGCTCGAGCATACTGCCAAGAGCGCCTGCTACCTCGAGTCCTCGGCAAGTAATTCGGCCTCGTAGTTTGAACCCTACACTGACCTTCAAGAAAAGAGGCTTACCGAAGTGAGCATTATGACCGGAACATTCTCAGGGAAATGGGAGAGTTGGGCCTTCTTGGGGCCACAATATCGACCCATGGATGCGCGGGTGTTAGCAGTGTGGCCTCAGGTCTCATCACAAAAGAAGTCGAACGCGTCGATTCTGGTTACAGGTCCGGCATGTCTGTCCAAAGCTCTCTTGTTATGGGTCCCATTGCCGAACATGGCACAGAAGAGCAGAAGGACCGCTTTCTTCCCTCATTAGGTCACGGAACCATGATTGGATGTTTTGGTTTGACAGAGCCAAATCACGGCTCTGATCCTGGGTCAATGGAGACTATCGCACGTCCACATCCAACAAAGAAAGGATACTTGTCAATTTCCGGAGCAAAGACTTGGATCACCAACTCTCCCATAGCTGATCTGCTTCTGGTCTGGGCCAAACTAGAGACCACGGGTAAGATTCGTGGGTTCCTCATAGAGCGACAACTGTGCCCTCCTGGAACTCTTGAAACGCCTGCTATCAAGGAGAAAAATGGCCTGAGAGCATCCATTACCGGCATGATCCAGCTCGATTCCTGCCCAGTACCCGAAGAAAACATGCTTCAGGTGGAAGGTCTCAAGGGACCTTTCAGCTGTCTCAACTCAGCCAGATATGGCATCGCCTTTGGTACAATGGGAGCTCTGGAGGACTGCATTGACCGCGCAAGGACATATGCACTGGACAGAAAGCAGTTTGGTAACCCACTTGCAAAGTATCAGCTTGTACAGAAGAAACTCAGTGACGCGCTCACTGATGCAGCTTACGGCACTCTAGCAGCTATTCAAGTGGGAAGACTCAAGGATGAGGGCACGTTGGCACCTGAGATGATTTCGATCATCAAGAGACAGAATTGCGATCGGGCGCTGGCTGGTGCCCGCACGTAAGTTAAACCACGTCACTTTCATGATACTTTACTGACCGTTACTAGTCTGCAAGAGATCTTTGGAGGGTGAGGCTCTTGTTCATTTTCATCTTGACTAACACTGACGATATTCGCTAGGAATGCTGCCTCAGACGAATATCATATAGGTCAGCGGTTTATAACATCCCTTATCCGCATTCACTGGTGCTGACTCTAGAAGGACGTCATGTCGCAAATCTCTTCGTGGTGCAAACATACGAAGGACAGTCCGATATCCACTGTAAGACTCATTGCCGAGATTCAGTCACCATTCTAATATGGAAGTAGCTATGATTGTTGGAAAGGGTATTACAGACTTGCATGCCTTCTATTAGAGTATCTAAGTAATGGCTTTAAACGCAGACATTGGACTATGTGTCTATCCGTCAGTAAGTATAGCGGTATGGCTTTGTGAAAGACACAGTAGCTAGACTCAACCAATAAAGAGGACAAATACAGATTTTGTACCATTCACCCAAAAGTGATGGCTTAATATTGGGGAGTGAAAGTAACCCAAGATATGTAATATCGCGACCTACAAGCCCAAGCGTCAAATGGAGCTGTAAAGGTGGCAAACTTAAAAGAGGTTTAAATCACAAGTGTTGGTAGGCAGTAAACATCGCGGATCAAGACCCTGGATCTTGACTATAAATTTCTCTTCTTTATCTTAAGTCTCACTGGAAGACCATCCGGTTGGATATAGTTCCAATCCCGCTGATGGAAACTTGTACAACATCCCCATCCTTTAACCATTTGGGCGGTTTCATTCCCAAAGCTACTCCACCCGGTGTGCCAGTCAGGATCACCGAGCCCTTTTCGAGTGTTGTACCCTGACTGACAAACGCAATGATCCTCTTTACGTCGAACACTAGATCACTGGTATTTGCCTCCTGGCGAACCTCCCCATTCACCTTGGTCTGTAGGATGAGATCCCCGGCTGCGTCAAGGACCTATGCTCTGGTTAACTTAGGTCTGAAACCTCGCCGTTGATAGAACTCACGCTCGGAGACACAAGCACCGGACCCAGAGGAGCAAAAGAGTCGAATCCTTTAGAGAAACACCACTGTGGGACCTCCCCAGCGAACTTGGGGTCCCTTTGCCATGTACGGGCTGAAACATCATTCGCAACGGTATACCCTGCCACGTAGCTCAATGCATCTTCAGCCGAGATATCTTTTCCTTCCCTACCTATTACAATAGCCTAAGACAAGTCAGTATTCTTCAACCTTGGATCATGGTTGAGAGACATACCAGTTCACCTTCGTAGTCAAGTTGATCTTTCTGTGCGATCTTGGGGATAGGGATACCATCGTTCCAACCTGTGATTGAGCTGGATGGCTTGATGAAGATTGTGGGATGCGGAGGTGGTGCCCTCCCTGTTTCCTTGACTACTATGGTCAGTATATAGTGCAAGAGTACTAGCGAAGAATGATGGTGAGGAAGTACTATGCTTTGCGTAATTCAAACCAACACAGCGTAGAATGGGCACGTCCCGAGGGGTCAAAGGCCCCAAAAGCGACTTGACTTTGACTATCTTGCCCGTTGGCTTTGCGTCAAATATGTCGTTTCCAGCTAACTTTTCGGCAGTGAGACTTCCAGCTTCCAAAAGACTCGCAAGGTCTTGGGCAGAGTTTGCAACTGCATCGCCGAGACAGACCTGATCTTCATCATCGAGGAATCGGATTAAGCGGCTCCAGCTCATGTTAGGCTACAGGATGTCAGGTTTATGAGATAGGGGTGATAATGGTAGAGCACTGGTATGTAAAGTTAAGGTCAAGGTCACAGAGTCAACACAATGGATCAATATGTACTTAAATGTAGCGCATTTCTCGAAGGTGGGGCTTCCAGTATGTTACACCAGTTGCACCATATAGGCCAGATCTGTTCCAAGGCTTGCCTCGGGCCATTTTGGCCGAACCGGAATTGTAGTCTATCACGCCAATTTCTAGGTACCGAAATACCGTATGACCGATTTAACTGAAATCATACTGGCTCTTATTTCCTGTAACGGCCCGAAGCACTCCGGCCTCTTATGAAAGGCTTGCTGGACAATTCGGCTAGGACTACGTCCTGCCTTTTTACAACATAACAAATCAGAACGCTTTGAAAAATTAGCAGATCGCTTAGCATGATCTAGACAACCAATAGTCATGCTAAGCGATCTGCTAATTTTTCAAAGCGTTCTGAATCTCCAGGGAAAGCGCCTCTACGTCAAAATCTCCAATAGGTCGATCAGCCCACTCCGCGATCTTCTTCACCACATCCAACACAGTCTTGACACATTCCACTGCGTTTCCTATCCCCAAAGTAGCTTTGATATGACTCTTTGTCTGTCGAGTAGCCCCCAATGCAGCGATAGAAGCTGCAATAATGAGATGAGACTCATTTGGTTGGAACACTTCCTCGTTCGCCTTTGAGATAAGGTAGCCCCATATAACAACCGTCGAGCAAGTAACTGACGAAGGAAAGTCAGCAAAATAAAGTAAGCAGGATATGTACTGGGAATGGCTTACATAGATCAGTAAAGTATTTATCCATCAGACTAAAGATGCCTGAATTACCGACACCACTGTATATGCGAGACTTGAGCTCAGTACCCTTCTTGACGTCTTCTTCATCAATTGTCGTTTTTCTGAGCACTCTGCTAGATGCATAAGCAGGACCCTTGCGCTGCACAACGCCAATCATTCCATAGCATGCGGGAATACAGGTTGGCATTCCGACGTATGGGAAAACAATGGTGATGGCCTCTCTAATGGAAAGAAAAAGCTTCTCAGATGCTTCTGTTGTTGAGTCAAATGTGATATCATCGAAGAAGCGGCCTACGACATCTGCACGACTGACAGCACAACACACGGCAGCCTGCCAAACTTAGCAGTCTTGAAGCAAGACGATGACCAATTGAATTTTTTTGACGTACTATGATTGCATGACTGCAAGATTTCAACTCCGGATGAGACGAAGCTAGCTTTGAATTGAGTTCGAGGAACATGCCCCTGTCATATTTTCGTGCCTGGGGCTTGACGTTGGTGGAGACGTATTTTGCGTCCCATTCTGACATGAACAAGTCGTCGTTCCAGTCAAGCATCTTGATTATCTTTGCCAGAGCTGGAGAAGAGACATTTGTGACCAATAAATTACTAAAGACTTTAGAAATCCAGACCAAGGTAGCATATTTTAACATGATGGGATTAGCGTGGAGACGGCCGGGACTTTCGGAAAGCAGCCGGAAATTCCAGATCATGGCTCAGGGAAGCCGATTCCGGTTGAGTCCGAGTCGAGAGAGCATGAGCTCCAGCAACCATTATCCGCTGCCTTCTGTAGCTATCGGTGTCTCAGTCAATGCGCATCACTATGATTATGTGCAGAACTGGAACTGTCGATAACGTCGCTTTAACCAGCCACATGACGCGCCCCAAGGGCAGACCCAGGAAATGCGCGTATTGCGAACGTGTATTCACCAAAGAAGAACACTTGAAGCGGCATGAGAGAAGTCGTGAGTTGCTTCACGACATCATCGAGGTTCATTACTAACAGCTAAAGACACAGGTGAGAAGCCTTTCAAGTGCTGTAACTGCGGTAGGAGCTATGCTAGAAGGTGATTCGCAAACAACTGCATATGTACCTTGTGGATGGATAATGGCTAATAATCAGGTGCAGTGACGTTCTATTCCGGCACTCTCAAACACACTTCTCGACAAGCAACAACCGCGAAAGCAACAACGGCCAAAGCGAACATGGACCTGGACGCCCATCTTCAGATAGTATTCAGGTTGGCCATGTCAATGAACCATGCCGCGATGATGAAAACGTTTCAATCTTACTTCCAGAGCGACAAATAAGTGGATCTCTGAACCCAGCCGTTTCCGACGCCCAACACCGCAACTCCACAGCGTCACTTCAGCATTTGTCGTCCACTCCAAGCTCCGCGATGCCATCGCCAACTACCGAAACTCATGTAAATGATATTCTGGGGCCACAAAAGCGACAAAGGCTTTCACCGCACTTTCAGCATATTCCAGAAAATAGCCGAGGAAGTTCAATGGCTCAACCCACTTGCACAATCTCCGACATGCTTCTACCGCAGCTCAACATCGACCAAGTCTCGACCTTTACTGGGATAGGGTCTATAGAACTCAGCCAACAAGGTATCCCTGGAAGTTTTGACAGCTCTAGCATGTTTTCGTTCGGGATGGGACAGATGCCAGGTTTCGGTGACATGCACTTTGCCTACGATGCAATAGATGGCACCGACTTGAATAATTCTGGCTTCCCATATTCGATACCAACCACGAGTACTACCTCATGTAGCCAGGTATCCAGAAGTGGTGGGCTCATGACCATATCAGCCTGTCAGATGCAGAAAGTACAACGAATCTGGGCGAGACAGCGACCCAAGGTGCTTGAACCTATCCATAGTCGTTTATGGGATGCAGTGATTGAGCATGATGCCGATAATATTTTCACGAAGCCACAGCAGAGCATCAACCTCAAAGACTATCCACCATCGGGACGCAATATGGATCAAGCATGTAGAAATCGTCTAATTCGGTACTGTGACAATCTTGACGGATCATATGGCACGTCAACAACTCCTGATAAGGCTTTCGTGCCTTCTGTGGATCTACTCGACTCAAGTTTGGACTTGTATTTCCAATTCTTCCATCCGGTCTTGCCACTCATACACAGGAGCACTTTTGATGCTAGAGATGCGCCGAGCTCGCTGTTGCTGGCAATGTGTTTAGTTGGTATGTCCTACTTGGACCAAGCACAAACCAAGGACTTCCTCACCAGATACCTCAGGGCAAGTTATCAATCGAGCAAATTATGAGAGTGATTGTTAATTCTGTTGCAGAAGTTGTCACCCGCCTGCCTCCACGATTTGATGTCTCATACACTGCTGAAGAGTGCATTACCTGATATCCTCACCACCCTTGCTACTGCACTCATCACAGCCTACTTATCCTTGGGCTTTCGCGTACATAGTTACCCTTTTCGAATCTCTATAGCAGTCACTGAGTGTTCACAGGATGAGATTGATATACATGAATCATACACAGTCTGTACACAGATGCTTCGTGTAGGTCTACCATAGCCGACATCATTTACAGTGAACATATCTGACTGAGCGTTCTTGATAGACGGCTGATGTACAAGGCCTCTTCATAGCTGGATATGGTGACGATCCGATTCTCAAAGTGAGACAAGTGGCACAAAACCCAAACAATCATTGGAAGGCATGGGCACGAGTTGAATCTATTAAACGGTAAGTCTACCTGCCACCTCAGACCAACTTCTCTAACTCTGTACAGCCTTACATGCTGCCTTCTCTACTTGGATATGGCTTATGCCCGGCTGATGAGCACATCCGGGGTTATTGCAATAGAGAAGGTCGAAATATACTTGCCGTGTGACGATGCTCTCTTCGAAGATGTAACGACAACCACGGCGTTTTTGCGCTCGGTGCAGCAAGGTGCACGTATTACAATGCCTCGAATGAATTCCCGGAGTTTTAGCGTCTTGTCACCGTCTGAGCTCAATCGGAATTCTACTCAGATCCTCCTCCGTTCTCTCTACCTCAGGTTGATAGCAGCCACAGCCAGACTTTCAGAAAGGAATGGGCGGAGCGACCATTTCCGGTCTAACAGCCTTGCTGAGAGCTTTTCAACGGATGAGGATTACAAGACCATCATTGCCGACGTTGTATTTCTGCCAAAGGCGCATGCCAGCTTCTTGAGTGAACGACATCAGAACAATGCGCTAGGCTGGCATTATTTGTGCATTCTCTTGACAACGGACGTTAACCTTTTGGAAATTGCGTGTGGCCGTGGTGGGTTGGAAGCTGCTGAGGACTCTCTAATTCATGTTTTCAGATGGTCGCAGTCAGGTAGTGCTCGCAGGGCACTTCTCCATGCGGCACAAGTATTCAGCATCTTGGATTCGTGCCTCATCCGCGAATCATACCTGACTCGGCCGGACTTGGTGCTATTTGTCTCGGCACTGGTTATAAGTCAATACTTTCTAGTTACGAGCTTTATGAATGGTGGCTCTGGTGGACCTGTTTTTGAGCTGTTGCGCGACGTAGATTGGAGTACCATCGGGGACGAAGGGTTTGGGCGAGTCGCCGGGCATCTGCCGCCAATCACTGAACGCGAAACAATAAAGTCAAACCCCGTCCTTGAGTTCATAAACAAAGGTGGTTCTGTTTCGTTTGCGGGAGAATTACAAGAGCTTGGGAGTGCGTCTGCTAAGAAGATTGCCAGGAAGTTTGCTCATCTCATGGATGGCTTTGGCAGATGGGATGGATGTAGCTATTCTCAACTCTTGAGAGTAATGAGTGGGTTCACGCATGAATCTTAGTGAGGAATAAAACTTGGATGCCAACTTGGGAATCGCTTTCGGCTTTCGTTATTAGCTGTGCTGTATTTGAAAAGTTGTTGCATCCATCGCATCAGCACTACTCCCGATGCCATGGTGCAAAGATCCCACTTCAGCCAACCCTGCGGTTCTACTAGACCCCGTGAACAAATAACCGGTCCTCTATTGGAAGGGAGGTTTTCATATGCAGGATGCTACCGGTCGGCTTGCCAAAGACTAATTGACCCTTCAGTGACCATTGTGGTGAGATATCCCATTCTCCAATGAGCCTTTGATCAATGATGGGATTGATGTGCTGCAAATTACACCCGAGTCCCTCAAGCGACAGGGCGGTCCACAAGTTGAGAGTCTGTATGGCATTGTTATGCTCAGAGAATTGCAAAAGATGCGTTGCGAATCGAGGAAACTTGGCCTGATACTCGCGAACAACATCCAAGTCTTCAAATAGTAGTATCTGCCATGCCTTTCGTCAGAAAAGGCTAAGAAAACCATTAACACGAATCAATAGCTTACCGTTCCATAGCCCGCTTGGCGTTGTAGTAGTTTCTTTTCATATTCAGCGTAGGTTCCTGGTTTCATGGTGGCCTTGAAGCACTCTTTTGCCAAAGCCCAGAACTTGACATGCTCGTCTTTAAGAAGGACTACCAGTCGAGTAGACTGGCAATTAAAAGAACTGGGCGTGTGCTTGACCACCTCCTGGGCTATTTCGATGATACGACCATCGCTGATTGGGGATTTGGCCTCAATCGAGTAACAAGTTCGACGTCTTTTGATCTCGGCAAGATATTGATCGGCCATTTTGTGAAGTAGAAGGCTGTGAGAGACTATTGGTGGCATTCGTAAAGGGGCGACAGTCAACAAGCAATACCTGGGAGGCTTTCAACAGCAAGCAATATGGAGATTTACTTAATGTATACAAATAGATTGGCAAACGTCCTGGAAGTTCGGGGCCCCACAAGTGGGGAGGCCCCATGTCCCCCACGCTGCGAGGTCGAGGCCCCATGGCCCCATCATATACTAGCAAGTCATGTCTACTGTCTTTTTGTATTTATCTTGACACAGTGACTTGAGTCAACCATCTCAATCCATCCGTCTTGTCACCATCATAGCTCTACATCATCCGTCGTCTTATTTGGAGCTCCCACTCTCGTCTAAACCGTCTTAAGTCCCAATCCTCTGACGATGTCGAAAACTGTTTTAGTCCTCGGTGCCACTGGAACTCAAGGTGAGCCTAAGCAACATCTTTGCTTATGACTATTAGCAGGACAAACTGATGGACTGTTAAGGTGGATCAATTGCCAATCTATTAGTTCAATATCCGGACCAATATCTGGTACGATGCCTTACACGAAATCCCAGCTCGGACAAGGCAAAAGCCCTGGCCGCAAAGGGAGCGCAGCTCGTGAAGGCTGATTTGACTGTCCCTTCCACCCTGCCAGAGGCGTTCAAAGGAGTCTGGGGTGTCTTTGCTGTCACTGACTTTTACGATACGGTTAGTCTCAAATGGACTCGCACCACAATCTATACTTACTCTATAGGCTGTTCTTGATGATCCTATGAGCGAGGAGAAACAAGGACAACATATCGTCGAGGCATCAGTGGCAGCTGGTGTTGAATGTTTCCTTTGGAGCACCTTGCCGAGCTCTAAAGAGATATCTGGTGGCAAGTTTGTCACAAGGCTGTATGAAGGTATTTCATGCTGAAACATCCTTAGAGGGCATTGGGCTAACCTGGCTGCTACAGGAAAACAGTCTGTTGATGCAGTCATTCGCGATGCAGGCCTCAAGGGTGCCTTCATTCGTACTGGTAACTTCTATGAGAACATGATCTCACGAAAGTACGCTGCATATGACAAGGAGAATGATGTTATTACCATGACGCGACCCATTATCGGACCCGATGCTGAACGTTAGTCCCCTTCTATAACTTTTGCCAAATATCTATGCTGACAAACGGTAATACAGTTACTTCACTTTACGTCGAGAAAGACCTCGGGGCGGTTGCCAAAGCGCTGTTTGATCAGTGGGAGGAGAAGAAGGATACTCTTGATGGTAAATACTTTCTTGCAAGTGGAGCTCGGGAGACAATGGGTGATATCAATGCCATTCTTGAGAAAGGTATGCCTCCAATCCTTCGGAATCACCCACACGTAACTAATCTGAGTGATACAGTGTCTGGTAAAAGGGTCATTTACAATATCAAGCCAACATGTGGTATTCCGGATCGCGATATCATGTTGCAACTTTACAACAATGTAGGAATGTACCCCGGGGTTGATATTCCGACTCCAGAGGTGGCAATGTTGGGTGTGAAGCTGCACAAAGCTGAGGAATTCATCCGGGAGAGGTTGCTCCCACACCTTGAACTTGGCCAACGTGACTAGAATACCGTAGATCGAATGGTAGTCCTCGGAATGATTATATGGTTACAATTTAGGAAAGCTTCGTGCCGTTTGTTTAAAATTAAATTGCTTTCCCGAGAAGACCATGCTTTACTGTGTCGTTCTCAAAATGGATGGCTTCAATTCTAAGAAACCATAGCGAGATGTCCTACCCTAGACTCCCTCTTGTCGGAGCGATCCGCTTTAATATGGTAGCCAATCAAGAGACAAAGCGAGTGCATTATGGGACGACAAGGATGGCACGGAGTCTAGACTTTGGAGATTAACAAATTGAGCTAGCTGCTGACTAAAAACACTAGCCGAACTCTATGACACTGACTACACCCATGACAAGCCAATCAACTCAGGTCGCGGCCCCATTTTACGGAAATTCCAGCCAAATTCCGTCCAAATAGTGGCAAGCCAGCAGCTTAGACGCTATGCCTCCCAGACACTACCGCGAGCGACCAAGACTCAGTTTCGCGGGGAACCCTGACAATCATCTCGGCATCGGTGGCTAGATCAAATCCGACCTGGGACAGCGTCTGGGGAAGAGGGGCTGTCCCCGCAGTAGCCCAGGCCCCGTGCATCAACCTGTCCAGCACTTGAATCACCAAGCTTCGTACAACAGTCTTGAATTGACTGAGCTTATGGAACCTGGCAGACTTCCATCCGCATTCAAGGTTCAGTCAACATAATGTTTCCATCTGATGTCCAGGACTGGGAGCCAGCCAGTGAGGCTGTAGACCAGACCAGTTCCGCAACTGACGATGCCCGCGAGACCACGCCGCCAACAGAAGATCAAGATGGGGCCAACAAAAGGAACGCCGCCAAAGACAACCCAGTGGTCAATACTGAGCCAACGGAACCGCCTGCGAAGAAGATGAAGAGAGGGAAATATATATCCAGAGCTTGGTAAGGAAGATCCACGACTTGCATAACCGCTAAAGCGGTGTCCCTAACCGTCACAGTACTTCCTGCCAGCAGCGCAAAATCAAGGTTGGTGTTCATTTCCAGCTGCTCTCCTTCAATGTCGATATGGAAGGCAATCCTGACGAGTATTATCCCACCAGTGCGAAGGAGGAGATCCATGCCGGCAATGCCTTGCGAAACAACTACCTTGTCAACCCTCTGCTCCAAGGGGCGCGCAACAAGCCCGTCAGGACTTGAGGTCAGGTCTCTCTGGAGGTCAAGACCAGGTCTGCTACCCCTCAAACGATAGGTAATCTGTTTTGCGCTTGCCTCGGTGACATGAACTTCTTTGACTAACCATGGTAGCATCAACCGCGAGGTCTTAGTTCGCCTAGAAGCTGTTGAACGCCATCTACGTCTGATGAGACCACCCACTCCCGATCTGTCCAGATCAACGAATGACTATGCATCAGTCGAAGACCAGCTCAAGCCTTCGGCAGCCAAACTACAAAGTGCCCTGGAGACAGAGGGACAAACGTTTGCAGGAGAGATGACTATGACTCCGACACTTGAAGACGAGAACGACCCAATGGATTATCAAAGCTCCGTATCGCCGGCAATGCGAATAGACAACACTTCTCCAGCATCCTCTCTTCTTCCACCAGCAACAGCAACATCACCAAATGATACGACTGGTAGAAAAGGCGGATGGTTTGAGCGGATATTAACTCGGCACGGGGTCATGACCGATGAGAGACAGTGCAGATATCACCTACAAGTCTTCATGGACGAGGTGCACCCGATGTATCCGGTCGTTCATCCCCCGGCAGTCTGGGATATCTTCAACGAAATGTGGCAGCACCCAGCGATCAGTTCCTCGGTCGAGTCAGCACAAAGTGAGCAGCTCCGGGTCTCCGTTGCCCTGGTGTGCTTTTGCCTAGCTCTTGGAAGATGCAGTATGTCAGCAAGAATGAGTGACCGTAGCGGCGTTGAATCTTCTGGCTGGAGTCTGTACAGTGTGGGAATGAGTCTGCTTGGTGATCTGCTCGAGACCACTAACACGGCTATAAAGTCACTGCTCATGTTACAAGTACTGATAGTAAGGGTGAGCTGATACCCCGGTCCTTGTATCCTACAAGCATTCTGACCCTGCATAGATAATTTACATGTTCCGACTAGACGCCAATCAGAAAGCAGCCAGAGTACACGCCTTGAGTGTATCAGTTGCGCAGACAATAGGCTTGCATCGTCAGAGCACCATCGAGAAAATGCCGGCTTATTACAACCAATTATACTCACGTGCCTGGTGGTCTTTATATCTGCTGGATCGACGACTGGCGCTAGAGTCCGGCAAACCATACATGATCCAAGACAGCAACGTTGATACGGCTTTGCCATTGGATCTGAGCGATGAGTGGATGACGCGATTTGCGTCGAGAAAGGAGACAATAGCAGACCTTGACCAAGAAATAATTGTTGAGACTGGCAGGGATTCGTCACCTTCATGCATTCCTTATGTTATTGCCATGGTGCGTTATTGCCGTATAGCTGGTAAGACGTGGGAGGTTTTATACGGCGTTAAGTCGTCTACTGCTTCAATGCCAGCCATGATCCAATATGTTGATACGGCTATCGGAAAGTTGCTCAACACAGTTCCGATATGCTTGAAATATGACCTCGATGCTCCTTACGAGTCTCAGTTTAGCCTCCATGGTCGGTGGCAAGTAAAGCAAACCTTTCTCTTCAATAATGTGGGTACCGATCCATGGTGAAACCCTTAATAGGCTCAGGGACTGACAATACTTAGTGCTGCACATACCTGCGTCTCTTGATAAGACGACCACTATTGCCGAGTTCCAGCGCTATTCACCACACAGAAGAGGATGACCTTGAGACTTCGATCGAGTGTGCTAGCCTCGCTGCCCGCATTCTTACCACTCATCAAAGCATACAAGACGATGGACTCAAGTACAGCTTTGCACTCAGCCACTACGTCACCAGCTGTGCACTTGTCATGGTCGGCTTGGTGTCGAGGGAACCGGGCTCCAAGAGAAGGTACGGGGGTCTGATACTCACAGCCACCCAGTGTTTGAACGAGTATTGCCAGAGGATTTGGGTCTCTGGCAAGATGATGCGTTGTGTTTCTAGACTCAGCCGGCTTGTTGGGCGTGTTCTGGCTTCGGACTCGCAAGGAGGGCTGGACCGCCAGAGTCCACCGGGTATGAGGCGAAGCTCAATGGCAGATACTTTGACGCAGCACCTGACGCCACCCCAAACTGAAGATCAAGACTCCGTGCGATACAGAACAGGGACTTCCAGCATATACCGAACCCAGACCAAGGACAGGAGAATCGACATTGCTCAAAGGATGCAAAAGGATCAAGAATTAGACTGTTATTCATTCAACACTGACTCTCTGGGCCCAATGCCTGAAGGATCGACTGCCGGATTCAACAAGCTACCCACATCCTGGATGGGCAATTCGAACCTTGACCGTCGAAACAGCTGGATCATGTCGGACTTCAATTTTGAGACTCTGGGAGAGCGCTTTGGTCCCAACAACGCCGAGCTGGCATCATTTATGGAGAGTGATAGCCTTGATTTTACCCGAGGCATGGGAATGACTTCGAATATTGAGAGAGGGTCTGCTGAGGCGAGGCTAGGCACTCTGGGTATTAATGGTGTTTTTGATCTTGATATGGATATGTTTCCTACTATGATGAACTTGTATGGAAGTTAGCGTAGTTTACACGCAAGAGCCATGTATACGTCAATATAATTAACAAAGTGGATTCTGCATTGCTTTATCTCGTTGCAGCTCTCAACTAACATCGATGCCCTATCCAGAATCTCTGAAATTGCTACAGGCTACCTACTACTTCACATACGTTGCGCAATTCTAATCCTCTCCTGTGTCGTCTATCAAATTAAGCATTTTATCTGGAGATCCCGAAGCCTGCAGTAAGAGATCTAAAGGATCTTCTTTCTTTCCCTGAGTCTTACATTGAAGTCCATTTGTCGCACAAACCAAGCATTGTGAAGCTTCCATGGAGTCTCTGGATTGACCAGCTCAAGCTGAAAGAAAAGAAGGATATTAGCTTCTATAAACAAAACGCAGCACGGATACATAAACCTTACCTCAAAAATCCGTAGAATGGTCGGTACAAGCTTATAGAGCTCCAATAATGATATGTTCTTGCCAACACACGTCCTAGCACCAGCGCCAAAGGACAATAGACAACTATTCATCTTCTTTCGCTGTTCGGGTGTTGCTTCGGTCCAGCGTTCAGGGCGAAACTCTGCGGCATCATCACCATACACTTCGGTGTCTTGATGGATGACCCACGGGGAACAACCAGCGATACTCCCTCCGGGAATAAAGTACCCAGCAAGTGTAACCCCACCCGGAGGCACCATTCTCTCTAGAGTAAGCCCTACAGCCGGATGACAGCGAAGGGCCTCGTTGATGACGGCGCTCAAGTATGGTAGATCTCTTACTTCTTCCCATTGCACGAGTCCGTCATCTCTCGAGAACCGGCCCGCCTTGCTCTCCGCTCCGAGCTCTCTGAGAAGGGCTTCCATCTTTGGAGGATTCTTGAGCAGGTGGTAGAAGACAGCTCGCAGTGTAATACCGGTTGTGTCAGAGCCCGCAAACATGTTAGCTACTGTCAGGGCCAGGACAAGCTGCTCAGTAATAAATTCAGGGTCTTTGCTGTGCGCCTCTTTAAAACGATTCAAGAAGTCCCTCCTCGGAGCTTTCGGCGTATCCGATGCTTCTTCATGCTGACGTTCGACAAGGTGCTTTCTCGCAAATTCGGCAACGGGGGCGCTGGAATTGAGGAACCCATATTTGACCAGCCATATTTTGATTGGGTTCTTTATGAACAGATTATCCAGGAATGGGATCTGGCCAATCTATAGAGGATGTGTCAGTGGCTGTTGCATCAGATATCTGGGGAGGGTCATCTTACCCATGACACGTAGTTTAAGAAACTCTCCAGATCCCGGATAATGTTGTCAATATCAACACCCTTCTCAACAAATCCCAATCGCTTAGAAAAGGTCAACTCTCCAATCACGTCAAAAGCGTAGAACTGGAGCCACGCCCCAAAGTCACATATCCCTGCGCCACCAGTCCGGTCGGAGAAGCGAAGCTTGAGCTGCCTGATGAATTCAGCCGATGTCGAATCAACAAAGGGTTCGAATGTAACCAGGGTACTCATTGCATAGGCATTCGAAACCGATCTTCGAAGTCTGGCGTGGTATTTGTCGTTATCTGTATTGAACATTGTTTCGAGTCTCTTTCCTTTAGCAAGAGCCTGCTGTACTGGGTAGAACTTTGACTACCAGACGTGATCAGTTAGCCAGGGAATAGTCATTCGATAATTCTACAAGTTACCTTGGACCATCCTGCGCTTGGACTATAAATAACCTTCAAAGCATCTGTATCTGCAATGGATACTGCTCGAGGGCCCAATCTAACAGCAGGCCCGTACTTCTTATGTAGCTCGATATGAACTTCCTGTGCTCGACGACCACGAACAACGAAGAGTCTCCAAAGATCTGTAAAACCAGCAAGCCAAGGGCCAGGTACGTGATTCAGACCATGTCCGTATTTGTTGTATAGAAGCCGGGTCAAGATGACTCCGGTGAGCCACAGGACAGCAGTGCTGAAGGATTGAGGTAGTAGGCGTTCCAAGATCATTGTGAAGTGTGAGTGCGAAACCAGAATTACTGCTGGCAACTATGATAAGCACTGAACTGAAAGACTCCAATGATATTTCAAGATCATTAACAGGACATTTGTCGACGGTATTTCGGAATTTTCCCGGAACACTGTGAGGTACTGCCGGTGGCTGGTAGTGGGGCTCCGGAAGACAACACCGCTCCTCGGATGGAATGTCAATTGTTCAATAGCTAGTAACTAGAGCAGAATCCGAAAGCTAATAAATCATATAGAAGTCGATAAGGGAGTCGCTGGACTTAGCAATCCTCATCGCGCTTGAACTCTACGTGAGTTGAGAGACGTTGCCAGTCATTGACTGTTCTTTATATGCAGGGGCGTGGCAATACGTCTAGTTAGTTCTCTTACCCAGGCGCCGTCTAGCTTACTTAAGCGGAACTCAGACCGGAATACTTCTAATACTGTGTTCCCTCGCTAAACCGGTCGCTGTGTCCCCGGATAGAATTTCTAATTCCGCTGAGTCTCTGGCATCAGCAACGCTCCTTGGGACTTTCAGAAGTCAGGTCAAGTAAGCTTTCACCACGTCCTTTGATTGCAAAAGGCTAATAAATGTTATGAATAGACAAGATATTATATCCACATATGTTGAACAGCTGCTTTGTCCTCTTACGTCATGAGTAGCTCAAATCAAGAAGGCTATAATGCGGGAATAACGGAAGTTACTGGTCCTGTCAAGCGATACATAACAGGGCATGACCTTACTACTGGACGAAGTATCTACGTGGATGCACCTGAGCTATGCACTGCAGCTGTGCCTGGCTTTGGGATAGCATCACGCTCTTATGCTACTCTAAAGCTACCTGCAGAGCTGGCAGATGATCGTGACCTGGAGGCACATCTTTCACATGACTCTCTTACCAGCTACACCCGAAGTTCGGATTTTCTCGTCCCTTCATCGGTGTCGAATACCCAAATAGGACACATTGAGCTGGGAGGCGCAAATGTGATAAACCTTGATATTGACCCTGGTGCAGTGGGTCACATGCATCGAACAGTGTCTTTGGATATCTCGACTTGCGTGATGGGAGAGGTATACCATGAACTTGATAGTGGCCAAAAGGTGCTGTTGAAAGCTGGGGTAAGCGTTCATGATTGATGCAGGGCCTTCTCGTAGAACCCCACTAACACTTATGTCTTTCAGGATCATGTTATTCAGCGGGCAACCATGCATAGATGGATTAACGCCTCGAAGGTGCATCGTGCTCGGGTAATTGCAGTCCTTCTTCCATGTCCCCCATTCAAAGTCAATGGTCAATGCATAGCAGAGGAGCATAGGCTTGGATAGTTAATAGCCTATTGAGGCAAGGTAAGAGCTAGATTATAATAACCCTTTATAAACTTAATATAAAGCGCGTTAACCTGAGTAAAACGGCAAAAATAGAAATGAAAAGCTAGAGGCAATGTGCTCTCTGCCCTCCCAGGTGTCCAATAATATCGCCTGTAGCTGGAGCTAGACATCCTATTACTAACTCCAAAGGTTATATAAACACCAACACATCAGTGGATTGGAATGTTGCAATCCCTGTTCCACCTCCTAGTAGTCATATTTATAGCAGAGATATCCGCCCTGGATATCCATAGCCTCCTTGACAGTAACATTGGGGCGAATTTCATAGGTAGTCATGACATAGCCCAGAGTCAACTCTTCGGTTCCTCCCTGCGTAGAAGGGCCTCCCAGTTGGTACAAGCGACTGTCAGGGTCTTCGGACTGCCACTTCCACCAAAGACGATCGATGAAAGCGTGGTAGATATAAAAGAGCGGGTCTAGGCTGGTTAGTTTGTATTCAAGGTAGGAGTGACGCTAGATTCCGAAAGTATAAGCTTACCTCCAGGGCTTGCATCGATATCCTCCATGACTCCACCGACCTACAATACCCATTAGTGGAACGCTCTATACAGCTCCTGTCGGCATACTTACCCCACTGTGACCAGCGCCATGGGTTGTGTAACCGGTCGTCTCCCAGAAATCGAGGTACGTGGTTTTACTATGGCATTCCTGAACATAGGTTTGTTGCCGAGAGTGCTATTGAACTCGCTGACTTTGCGGGATAAGAAATGGTCACTCAAAATTTGGCCCGGGCCAATGTGAAGAGTGGCGTTTGCAAAAGGGCCTCAGTGACACAATTATGCGGACCGGTCCCGTTCGCACCGAATCCTGTGTCGGGATCCAGGAGCGGCGAGTCCATAAAATTGCCTGCGTCCCGGCTTTCGTCCCACCAACTGCCTTTGTCAGTGACGGGAATAGGATAATAAGATTGCTGTAGCAGGACTCACGGCGTTGGCTCTTTGTAGCCACACTCGTCTCTCAGGAGCTGCTCGTACACATATATATAGAGACGGTGAAATGGCAGAAACTGCGCCTATAATTATGCACATCTCAGTTAGTAAGGCATATACTTTCACCATGGTAATGCGGTTTGGGAAATACTAACAACAAGATGAATTATTTTCGCTTGCACCTGATGCATGGCATTCATATCGTCGAACCTTGTGACCGTGCCCTTTATGCCTGTCTGAGCAGGCAGCTGCATTAGACATTTTACTGCCTTCAGGTAGGATTGCTGATCATCGCTTGCCATATTTGCCCATTCAATGCGTGTCTGAATGTTCTTGGATGTGCATGTACTATTGCTGGATGATACAGCCGGTGCAGGGAGTATCAGGCCAATACTGCAAATAAAAAGAAGAGCATAGTTGAAGGAGCAGTCAATCTTGGTCAAGTCAAAAAGGAATGTATGAAATGATCTGGTAGCCTTCTTTAATGTAGAAGCCAGATTCTATAAATAGGCTAACAAGATTTACGGGAGGACATAACTCTGATATAGTATGATCTTCCTAATGAATCCTTTGGCTATAATTATGGAAACGATCTGCAAAACACAGTAGATGCGCGATCTCAATTTTTCGAACTCTTGGCAGATGCTTCACGAGCCACGATCGAACGCGTTAATTACCTGCCGCGCGTCGTCCGCATGTCATTCTCCACGCAGATACGATATATCAGTAGGGTTTATACCCACTTATGGGTTTCAGGTGGACCGATAACAGTCGCGACCTGCATACTACTTTTGAGGAGCAGACTTGGCAGAGATGGACTTACTAGAACCACAAGATGCGGCTTGGATGGCCAAGAACATATCTCGGATACGGCACACTGAAAGTCAACTTATTCACTCACCATCACCGCGTCCTCACCTACGCATCGACAGGGAGCGTATCCAATCATAACTTTCAGGCAACCCGATGGCTATTGCTACGTACCGCTCTTGAGCAGTAGAGACAGGATTACGAGAACGATAGGATGCTACAGAGACGGTCAGAACACATCTTGAAAACGTCAAACGAAAAGTCAATGTAACCACTTACCGCGCCATATTATACGCTTTACCAGGGAATGTATGTCTATTTGTGGGTTTCAGGGGGCGCGACGGCCGTCGCAGCATGTGTTGTCTAACGGACAAGGGCGATAGGAGCCGACAAGACGGAACCGACAAGCCTGTTCTAGGCAACATCTGCGTAGCCGGAGGTGCACCACGAGCTTCTACCCACGCACTGTCATCCAATCACCACGGCCAAGTATCAATTTTTGGATTCGTTATGGCCATTAAGTTGAGCATTTCCCCATAAGTCCAATTAAAATGATGGTGAAAGCAACATAACCGCAATTTGCTACGTTTTCTGCACGGCATCCGATCTCGAGTCGATCACTGAGAAGAAGAGAAGTTGGAGCCAGTCTCCGGGCTTCGGAGAAGACAAAGAAGCAGTTGGCGTGAGACTTATCCTTCCAACTGAAACTAAAAATCGCGGAGGACAAGCATCTTTCGGCTCGGCTCGAGGTCTGGATAGGCCCGTGTGGAGGGTATACACGTTGTTAGATAACAGATTTGAGGAACAATGGCACCATTAATGCTCATAATAAAGCATTCAAGTCCATAGAGGTTCTAGAGTATCGTTCCCGAAAGCAAAAACTCCAATCGGCTATCAGATCACTTTAAAGTTGCCCGTTAGGGCCAATTAGGTGAAGGCGGCTGAAATAGACTTTCGGCTTCCAAGTATAGATACGGCAGCTAATGATACTTCTCAGGTGAGAACAGAGAAAACAGCTCATTCTGGAACACTTATACATGCAACCATCAAGGCACACATTCTAGCCCACCATCAAAGTCACTAAGCTTGCAGACAGCAAAGTAACCTAATGAAGTCGAGTTTGCCTACATCACAAGCACCGCAAGGTCAAGACTAAATAACTTTAATGTAGATACAGAAATAGGCTTAAGGAAGACTGTATGCATTGCTGTCCTTATAGGTACATAAGTCTGGATGTAACTAAAATGGCTACGGCAGCTTGAGCTGGGGACCACAGTGGTTTTCCCTCTAGGTCCATAAGTGCTGGCTCCCGTGATATAACTCGCAACGAGCCAGTAGGCTTGCTTCTAAGTTACGGAACCACGGAGTGCTAGGTGAACTTCACATTTGACCTGGCGGGCTTTATAGTATCGACGATATAGTCGCGGATACGCCTGTATGCCAGGCTTTAGAAGCTACAAAAGCATTATAGAACATGCAGCTTATTGGGAGGCAATTTCATCTTAATGCTATAGGTTAGTTGGAAACAAATTGTAGAAGCCAAGTACTTTATTAATTTGCAATGTGTCTTCAAAGGCTGACCTGGGATTTACACTATTGGGACTATGGGGTTGACTGCCGTCTATCAGGTTAGCCTTTAGGCTGCAAACACAGGTGACAAATAAGACCATGGTATTTTCCCCCTCAATATACGCTTTTACCCAGAAGCTTTCACGATGATTATACTATTGAGAAATAACAATTAAACATGTCCATAGACAGGTCCCTCTCATCGACTCTGCAATTTGTTTCCTCTTGCTTTTGTATAAGCGCCTCAAGTAAAAGTGCAGCCCGTTTTGCATTCCTTGTGGCTCCGTGACTAATACGAAATGCTGGTAGATTCTCAAGACACTGTGCCTCAGACATGAGCACCGGCCTTTCCTTTCCTAAGGCTTTCAGTTGTTCAATAGCCCAAGTGCGGTGCTCGACAGTTTTACATTCTGCTCCAAAGAGAAACACTGGCCACATAAGAGCAGGGTGTACTGTCTTTTCCTGAATTCTGTCGTCTGACTCTCCGTAAGAGTTCTTCATATGTTCCCACGTCTTTTCCAGTGCGCCCGTTACTGCTTTAGTGTGCGGAAGATGCCACCAACAAATGCGGTGGAGATAGACAAATAGGATCCAGAAGCTGGCTAGATATATGCCGGAGACCTCTCGTACCCTCATAGCGACATCGGGAGCCACTGACATCGACAGTTCAGCCGTGGATAAGGATGTGACAGAGGGACACTGCGCCCACAAGTCCCAAAGCCTGCCATGAATTCGTTTCCCCTCTAGAGAAACCTTCATCTCAGCATCTGGGGTAAACCGATTACAGTGATGCTTGTCAAGGGAGCTGATCTGGCGGCAATACGCTTGAGTCTTCAGATACCACTCCGCAGCTGGCTGCAGAATGGATCGGAGTATGATCTCCTTTATATCACAAGGACTCCTCGCAGGGACGATGATGCCGCTATCGCCATGTTCAGAAACAGCAGACAGCGGGTTTTGAGAGAGTAATTGGAAATCTTCGTCTTCGTCGAGCGAGTCTCTTCTGTACTTAGACTCTTCGTAGTCACAACTGATGATCTGGATAGGATACTGAGAAACAACTTGGAGGGCCCTAGATGATAAAAGAGTTGGGCCGCTCATATGAGAGGCTTTGCTATCGAGGGAGTTGAACCATGAGAGAAGTTGCCTCGAGTACCAGTTCCATTCATGAGAGCATGTAATAATAGTTTCGGCAAGTTCGGTTGGAAATAGACACCCACTGTCGTGTTCGGCACGATCGCGGAGAACATGAGTCCAGGCTAACAGAAATATAGCAGCGAGCCAATCATCCATTTTGGAGCTGATACTGTTGTATTGAACTTGAGAAAGGTCCTGCTGAATTGCGCAGGTTGTTGTGTTGAATGAATCCCGTATGTGGTCTTGAATATCATGTCTCGTCATGGACGAGTCACGCATACTATCCCACTCAAGGAGCCTATCGAGGCCCAGCAGTGCACCCATGACAACTTCATTTTGAGATGCCAAGTTCATCAGGTACTGTTGCAGATGTCGCCACTTCTTAATGCCCCCCATGAGCATGGCCGCAGGTGGCTGCATGATCTTGCCAAAGACTTTTAACGACTGCTTATCCTCTGACGCTTCAGAAGCCATTAGGTTGTCGAGATGGAATTGATCGTCTGTATGCGTAGAGGCTGTGCTGGAAACATGAGGACTGCCAATGACCGCTCTCCAGAGAGTCGCCGCGTCATTGGAAGTTCCAAGGTCGGAAAGCTCGGATATCATTGGCACCGAAGAACCTGCTATCAGATCTCGATCACCGTTTGACTGGCCAATGTTGCACAGCAGGGACTTGGGACTACCGAAAGCCCCAAGTTCCCCTTCCCAATTATTGTAAAGGGTAATGATATCGGTGGCCAAGTTGCTCTCCGACCACGAAAACGAATTAAGTTCATCCACATCTTCGTGCCCTTCCCGTAGGCAGACGAAAGAGCTTTGTCTGTTTGGTCCAGAGAAGCCTGAAATGCAGGTGTTGGATGGATTGATGAACGAAGGTCCGGATACATTAGGTGAAGGAAGCAATGTTCGATGTTTTGGTGGTCCAGGTGCTCGTTTTGAGCGATGGGGATAGTAGCACTGGAGCTGTAACCGATAACAAGGTTGACATGATGGATATGCCTCATCGCATCTCACATGTCGCCTCTTACAAGTAGCGCACCCCAGTCGGGACCGAGGCGCAGCTCTACCTCGACCAGGTCGCTGATGTAGGGAGTCCTGAGCCGAAGGCGTATTGGATCTCACCATTGTGCGTCAAGAGAAATACAACCAAGATTGGAACGAAAACTATGTAGAGAAGATAGACCAAGGTTTCTGAAAGTGTCAGCTCTAAGTCCCTCGTGGGTACTCACACCAACGCAAATGCACAGCTCGCTGTGGGGGCGCGAGTGCCTCCCTGTCATCTACCTATCTTGTCTCGGGGGTTTCTCGGTATGGATACTGAGACGAACTGGCACACGATCAAGCCCGCAACCCCGCACCTCAGCTATGGTAGCTATGGCACAGATAACCTAAGCCATCTTAGGACCGGTATCACAGTCTAGAACCTGGATAACGCGGGGTAAACCCCGCAACAGGGGTTAACTTGCATGATCCATGCACATACTCACGAATCATCGCTCGCAGAATGGGCACTCAGGGCGCTCTCTTATCACTTGACAGCCTGTTTTGAGTTTGACTAGTTATCTGGGGGGCGCTTGATATGAGGATCCAGTTCTCTCTTATCTCGCCTCTATCATGTGAGCCCGAGGAGGTGGACCGATTGTGATGTCATGGCTAATTTAAATATCTTTTTTATAATTGGCAATATTTCCGGCTGTTTGGATAGTTATAGAGCAGGTAAGGACTGTTTACTATATATCTTAAATTAATAAACTATTATTTAAAAAAGGTATATATAAGGTATATA